GAGGAAATGCTTTCACTAAGAAAGATTTTAAGATGATAGTGATTGTAAAGTTGCATTCTCGAATTCAATAATGGTTACGGTATCCCTTTCCATAATTTGAATTGTGAGGTTTGGAAATTAGTCTTGATTGTTTAGAAACACATATGAACTATCTAAGGCAAAGGTGTATAAGCTTAAGAGGCCTTGATAAAAGATTATCAAAGCACTAAGTATTAGAAACATGGACTTAAGAAATTCAATAGGTATTGTCTTTCTGAAAGTTAAGATGTTTATGAATACATGTCAAAGCTAGTGGGAGCATAAGTGTTATGTTTTATAGTAATCATCATAATAGTGGGAGCATAAATGTTATGAGTGTATGATTATTATGGAAAGTTTTGCAAGTTGGCAATATTAATTATAGAAAACAAGAGTTATACCTTGCAAAGTCGTAAGGGTTGTATAGTTGTTTTGCTATAATTAAGGGAGAGAATATTATGCTTCATTTCAAATCTAAAGGCTTAGGTTGAGAAATGTTAATAAATTTAGTCAAAGGTACATAGTGTGTTCTTAAAATTTTGATTATGATTACGGTATTCCTTTTCACAATTCGAATTTTAAGAACATAGCAAATAAAACATTGTGCATCGGATCCCATACGCTTCGGGTATAGGATTGATTGCAAATGCTTTAATGTTTGACCATTCTAAAATTTTCCAAATGTCCAACGCATTTAGAGGGAAAAGGGACTAGAATTGGTTTTTACTAAAATAATTAAACAACTATCAAAGGACAACTGGAAGTTCGACGAGAATTGGTCGCTTGTGAGTAGTTGGAAGTATAGTATTGGAAATTATGGAAATGTTTCCATATTGGATGTACAATATCGACATCATTACGAATAGATAAGATTCTATTAAGAATAAGTTGTCATATGGAACATATGGAAGCGTGTCCATATTGGGAAGTAAATATTGAAAATCTATGTCTAGATTAGAAACTTTTATGCAAAAGGATGTTCAAAGGAATGTACTTTGAGTGAGTGACATCATATCTAAGGAATTGTCTTGTAACAATCTACGTTAGAGGACTTTGTAATATCATTGACAATAGTCTTTGAGACTTTGGTGCAGTGACATTACAAAAGGATCGTTGCATAAAGTGTTAGAATCTAGTATATTCTATAAGTAACAAGAATTTGACATTCTTACACTTAAGAAAAATGGATTTGGAGTTGTAAAATGAGAATGATTGGAAATGTGTTCAATTTGTCTATTTCACAAAAGTAAGAACCTTAGGTAAACAATGTGTGCATGCTAGGAGCACGGGACAAGTGTAATAATTCAAGTAAGAAGTTGATTACCCGAAACGACAAATAATGAGAAATCGATATGGTGATAAATAAAACGTGTTTTATTTATACTCAAAGGTTTGAGGCCATATGGGATTAGTATTATTCTTGTGTTTCACTTTGCATGTTTTGACTTCTAGAATAATTGAGTTTATTAAGAATTATCGAATTATTCAAACGGGCCACAGTCGTTCATATGTTAGAAGTAGATATGAATGAAGAATGTCATGAATTGGTGTGTGGATTGTCTAAAAGAGTATTAGACATAAGAAAATGTTTGCTGCAACGTTCATGAGTGCTTACGAATACGATTTGAGCATTGGATTAAACCCACGCTCACTTGGATCACTCCATGAATTGTATTACGAGTGATTGGTGAGATGATAACATCTTATATTCTTGAAACCGAGATGTGTGAGTTGTATCTTGCAAATCGGTTGCACATTGATAATATGTAAACGCACTAGTAACTTGGTGTTATAAAACATATTGTTGTGTGTGATTTGGTTAGTGAGTGCAAGCAAGCATTGTATCAAAGTTTATCTGTTCCTTTTATCCAAGGTAGGATAAAAGCGATATCTTTGGGCCCCTCGATGGTTTAGTGATGACAAATGTAAATGCTCGACCGGGCTAGGGCTAATTTGATTTGTTCAATTAGTCAGTCGTCATAAATCGGAAATCGAGATATAGTACAAAGAGAATGATTATAAATCATATCTCATATGATATCTAGAATGGAGGAATATATGATCCCTTATCTAAGGACACGCGTATCTGATAGGATCAGAGTTGACAGCGGCTTTGGAAAGCTACGATTGCAGATCAGGATCTGAAGTCGTACGCATAATAGTTATTAGACTTATCCAAGTGGGAGACTGTTGGATTAGTGTCTAAGTCCATAACTGTTTTGGTATGTACTTGACCCGATGGTGCATGGTCCTTTTGGGTTGCCTTCACCAAAGCAACTTGATTGGAGAAATAAATAAAGAGAGAGAGATTATTATGATTTATGAATATGGTATAAGAATAATATATTAAAGGAGAAATCATATTTGTTTAATTAATATTGGCCAATAATTAATTAGGAATTAATTTTGTGATCAAGTGTAATTAATTAAACTAGAGGGGTTGAATTGTAATTATGTGATAGTTACAAAATAAGGTAAGGATTATCTTATTATTAGGTTGGACGAATTTAAGGTGATAAGGCCTTAGAATTCGACTATGATAAGGATTCAAGGATTATCTTATGGGTTGCTTTGTGGATAAGCAACTAGATAAAGATAATCATTGAAACCCTATCTCTACACCTATATAAAGACCCTAAGGCTCATGAATTCGTGTATCCCTTCCCAAGAAGTCCTAAGGACGAGTTCTAACCTCTCTCCTCTCTCTTTATACCTTCTCTATTTGCTCTTGGTGTTTGTAAGCCATTAGAGGAGTGACACTTGTGACTCTAAGCATTCCAAAGTCAATTCAAGGTGGAATTAGGATTGTTATTGCTATATAACAATCAAGGTATGTTCTTACACCTTATTATATGTTAATATCATTTTCCATATGCTAGTATTAAGGTTTGAAGTCTTGGATTCAAAGCATGTACATTAGAGAAACCTAGATCCAAGCATTAGAGTTTGTATGAGCACATAGGACGTCTTATGACCAAAACCCATCAAATACAACAAAAACAAAAAACCAACCCCTTTTTGCCTACTTACAAAAAGCTGATTTAATTGGATATGAATAAAAAAACATCATTCAAGGTTCTACTAAACCTTGAAACCAAAAATAATAATAATAATAATAATAATAATAATAATAATAATAATAATAATAATAATAATAATAATAATAATATAAATAAAAACAGAAGTGAGAGAGGGGAAGAGTTTAACCTAACTATAAAAAAGTAATGATATACCTGCACATCAAAACCATTATTTAGTGATCATCCTTTAAGAAAAATTGAGCAGCGAGACAACGAAGGAAAGATACAGACGATCGAATGATAATTCTTAAGCAAGGAGAGATAGTGGTGGTGAAGGTGAACGGCGTAGGTTTTGTGAGAGAGATTTTATAAATGAGAAAGTTTGAAATGAAATCAAAATTAGTGATTGTTGCAATCAAATCCCTAATTTGTTTCCTAATTTTTAGGAACAAAATAAGGATAAAGGATATAGGCGTGATAATGAGTCAAAGAAAGCAGGGACAATTTTGGAAATGCAGTTGGATGATAGAAGCGGGAAAACTCGATTGGAGGGGGCTAAAAGAATGCCATTTAGCATAAATGTACTTATTTATTAGATTAGGGGATTATATGAAAAAATTGACAAACAATTAATACCAAAAACTAAAAAACAGATTTTGGTTTAAACAACAAAATAAAACTGAAATTATGAAGTTATTTACATTAGAAATAATAAGAAAATAAAAATAAATCATTAAATCTACAGAACAAATTAAAACAACAAATGTTAAAAACTTAAGAAATCAAATCAAATATATAAAATGTTAAAAAATTGGACAAGGTTAATTAGATGTTTTGGCTTCCGTTGATTATTTGCGGAATTTTCTATGCAATTCCCACAAAATCCACAATACTTAATCTCTTCTCATTTTAACCAAGCGGTTTTTACACTTAGATGAAAAAAAAAAAAAGAACGGCGATTCTCCGAAGCCATGGTCGACTTAAAGTACGTTGCTATTATGGAATATGTTTTATTTAATGTTTCTATAATGGATAAAGAATGCAGCTATATGTTTTTTGCTTGCTAATTATATGTTTGTTTTTATGATAAGGAGTTATAAACCCAACTTGCGGAGAGGGAAAGAGTTTGATACAACAAAAACAATAAATAATTGAACAGCAATTGGCTCAATTGATGAGACAATTTACTAACCCTCCAAAAGATCGATGTTAGTTTTGTTATTGGAAGTGTTTTATTAAGCATGTTAGAGAAGTACAAAAACCTAATTGTTTTGGTGAAGTATTAGATGGTAACTATTGTTTGGATGAAATATTGAATATTTAGATAATAACTATCATTTTGTGGATATTTAGATAGTACCTATCATTTTGTTGAAATGTTGGCACCATTTTGGATTTGTATTAAATTGTTTTTATGTGTTTACTATTATTGTGGTTGATAGTCCATATTTAAAGAATTTGTATTTGATTTATACTTTATTATATAATTTTTACAAAACTATATATTTTTAATTTCTTGAATATTGGTATTTTATAGAATTTAAAAAAAAAAAAAAAAAAAAAAAAAACTGCACTATTACCGACATAATATCTGCTGATAATGCATAACTCTTTTGAAAAGTTGGATCGATAGAAATTTGTTGTAATGGTCCGTTAGAATAGTGATATGTAGGAAGATTTTAGGAAAAAATATGTGAGGAAGCCTAGAGAAATCTTGTTGAAACTTTTTTAAAAATTTTCTTCAAAATATTATGTAGGAAATTTGTCAGAAATTTCGTTTGAATTTTGGGGTTTCTCATGGCCCTTTTTCCAACAAACATGGTTCGTGGGAACTTTGTTGGTAATGTTGTTTCCTACTAGATTCCAACAAAATTGCTTGTACGTAACCATCGAATTTTCTAGTTGTTAGTTGTGTTCTATAAAGGCCTAAACCCCGAAAATATATATGGTATTACCACAAACACGCTTCCGCACAACAACAATATTCCCAAATAACAAAAACAATTCAAACTAGTTGATTTATTATTGTAGCTAAATGGACCGAGTTGAAGTTGGATAGCTTATTAAGTTTATATGGTTTATGCTCAACAACTAGAATCGCTGACTCGCAACCACCATTAAAGAGGACTTCTTGTGGACTGTAATGCCATATGTCTCACTCATGTCAATATCCTCATTTTTTACTCCATTTGGCAATGCAAAATCGAACTTATGAACCATATTTGCTAAAGCAAGCTCCATGATAGTTGTAGCAAATTGAATACCCGGGCACCCTCTTCGACCAGCACCAAATGGAAGCCAATCATAATGAGTGCTTTGATAGTAGGTTGAAGTTGAATTGTCTTTCAAGAACCTCTCTGGCATAAATTTGTTTGAATCTTCCCACACAGTAGGATCTCTTCCTATGGCCCAAGCATTGACTAGCAACTGTGTGCCTACGGGAATATCGTACCCCATTAGTTTCACGTCTTCAGTTGTTTCTCGAGGAAGAAATGGGACTGTAGCATGCAATCGCAAGGACTCTTTTATGACAGCTTTTAGGTATTGCATCTTTTCCAAATCCTCCTCCAGAATCGTCGATCTGCCTTGTGCAATTATTGTTGCTTCTTGCTGTAACTTTTTCATTACCGATGGGTGCTTTATAAGCTCACTAACTGCCCACTCTAAACTTGTATAAGTCGTATCCGTTCCAGCAGAAAACATGTCCTACAAGACACTTAAACATTAGCATGTATATGATATCGTTTAAAAGTTCATCAAAAATCAGTTGGTTGTTATAACCCGCTTTCTTTTATGTAATTTCCTCTCTAGCTTCTGGGTAGCTTCTTAATAAAATCGGTTTTTCGAGTAAGAATTTAGAACTTAAGGTAGATATATCATTGACTACGTACACCCTTATATATAGAAAGCATGAATAATGTATTAATTATCGCCCTAATTAAGTATATTGGTAATTAAATCATTAGCAAGTTTAATCATATATAGCTCGTTAATTTGGAGATGTAGAGGGAGAAATCATACCAATATGACCCCTTTAAGAGTATCGTCGCCAAGGGTAAAGCCAGTTGTTTCGTTTTTTTGGACATCTAGTAAGATGTCAACTAAATCTTGGTCTTTATCGCTCTTAGCGTCTTCCCCTTTTTTCTTACTTCTATGTTCTTTAAGAACACAGTCAAGAAAATCATCAAACTCTGTAGCAATTTTCTTTGCATTGCCCTCTAAATTTTTGAGTCGATCCACCCATGACAACCATGGAATGTAATCCCCAACACAAAAAACACCTAGCATATTCATGAACCTTATCAATAAACTTGTGAACTTTGACCCATGATGATCATATGTTCTTCCAAAAGCCACCCTACAAGTTATTTTATTTGCAAGTGAAACTATCAATCCACCCAAATCAACTGTTGAACCACAGCTTTCTGCAAGCATGCCAATTGTAACACCTATCTCTTCTTCTCTCATTCTTCTGAAAGACTTGACTTGCTTATTACTTAAAAGATGGCATATGACTATGCTCTTCAACTGACGCCAGTATTCCCCATAAGGAGAAAAGGCTATATCCTTACAGCCATATAGTAGAATATTAGTCATCATTAGTCGGGGTCGACCAGAGATAGATAAATCATGGAATTTCATAATCTCCATGGCTGCTTTAGCTGACGATGCTACAAGAACAGGTACGTTGCCGAGGTGAATGAGCATGAGTGGGCCATGTTTCAGCGACAAGGAATGGAGAGAGCGATGGGGGCTTGAGCCCAGCTGATGGAAGTTTCCGATGATCGGAAGCTTCCATGGAGACGGTGGTAAGCTTTTCTTGGTCTTGGAACGAAAGGACAACCATCTACAACCAATAAAAATCATCAAAATGATGAATGGGAAAAAAGAAAGGAAAAACGTTTGTAAGAATAGCAATTTAATCATGATGGAAGTAGCTAGCAATTCAAGGAATAATTATGCCCTTATGCATAGCGAATGTATGTATATATAGTGTTTTTTTTTTTTTTTTTTTCATCGAAATGGGGCGGCAAAGTTTTTAGTTTGTTTATGCATTAAAAAATGTTCATGTGATATGTTTTCCTCTGCTTAATTTTTCCTTTTATAAAATGTGCTTAATTCATTTTTCCCTATAAATTATATAATTAATTATAGGACATGACCTAACCATGCAAGAATTTCTTTTGTTTTCTTAATTCGTCTACAATAAACGTTGCATATGTTGGATTTTTTTAACACAAGAAGATTAAAAAGGTTCTTTATTTCTACTATTTTATAAACAAAACACACAGCGTTGGTTCTTTATATATACCATGCCTTGTCAATGTTAATTTAATATAGCCTACTCATTAGCCTAACTAGACGAGTGAATTACATAAATTGTTGTGTATATATATATATATATATATATATATATATATATATATATATATATATATATATATATATATATATATATATATATATATATATATATATATATATATATATATATATATATATATATATATATATATATATATGGTGAGGTTCGATAGAGAACCGTAATTAATTAAGGAACCAATCGTGATCATCGAAAATCATAATGATCAAAGGTCATGATAGATGTATACTTTTACATTGGACGCACACATACCGGATTATGCCAAAAAATCCATCATTTAAAAAAAATCCACCACTTTTTTTCGTTTAAAATTTTTTTAGGTCATGTTTTTTTATCAAAAAAAAAAAAAAAACCCGAATATACCGTTGTTTATGATTTTTCGTCCTTTTTCCATAGAGATCCATGATGATATATATAAAAAACGAACTTTTTTGTTTCGAATAAAACCCACTTCATTTTCTTTAATGAAAAAAGTTAAGGTCTATTTTTTATAAAAAAAATTTTAATAAATATATCAAAATTCATATTTTTTGTACTTTTTAAACATAGATTCATATTCATGTTAAAAAATAAATAAATAAATAAATAAACGATATTTCAATTCATATTCACATTGTGAACTTGTTCAGATTAATATTGTAAACCTGTTCAAATTCACGTGTGTATAATAATAAATCAGATTCACAGTGTGAATCTGAACTGATCGGAGCGTTTTCACATTGTGAATATTAAAATTTGAAATATTTACAGTTTAAATTCACAATGTGAATCTACACTGATCGAGGTTTTTTTTGTGAATCTTCTCAGATTCACATTGTGAACTTGTTCAGATTAATATTGTAAACCTGTTCAGATTCACATTGTGAATCTTCTCAGATTCACAGTGTGTATATTAATAAATCAGATTCACAGTGTGAATCTGAACTGATCGGAGCGTTTTCACATTGTGAATGTTAAAATTTGAAATATTTACAGTTTAAATTCACAATGTGAATCTACACTAATCGAGGTTTTTTTGTGAACCTTCTCAGATTCACAGTGTGCATAATAGTAATTCAGATTCACAATGTGAATCTGAACTATTCGATATTTTTCATATTGTGAATGTTAAAAATTGAAATATTTACAGTTTAGATTCACAACAAGAAGATGCTAATAGACCAATTTGTTGTTCTTATGCATGTTTGTTTTTCTTGATGGACAAGAGTCTAGGTAAAATAAACATAAGAGCTCCTTGATGTACGTGTTCTCATCCCTTAGCCTTCAAGAGACAAACACCTTTAATCACTAATGAAAACAATTCAATCAAAAATAAATATAACATATGATTTCACTTCAATACACCTTTAATCCTAAATGAATAAGAATACGTATGATGAAAAACATTAAACATAATATAGGTTTCATTCACAACGAACTTCTAATATAGTGCATTCATAATAAAAATTCCAATGACTGTTGTGTATATCCTTAATTACATCCAGAAAAATTCAAAGTAATTACATAGATCCCAACCCATATTCATGCTCTATTCATCGACTTGTGTGACATATGGAAAGAAACACAAAGTCAAATATTGTTCATCACCATTTTTTTCATACCAACTTGATAGAGAAGGTTGAATACCTCATTATTCTGTTCTTCAAGCCCTATTAATCGATTTATTTAAGAATCAACCCTACATTGATTGAATGTCATTCTCAGATGAACCACAAGAGTCGCTGTGAAGGAAAGAGTTATAGACTTAAGGAACCGTCATTAGATAAACCTGATGTCATTGCCAAATTAACCAGAAATGCCAATAATATATGTTCTTTAGAAGGTCTAAATAAACCTGATGTCATTGTTAGATGAACCAGAAATGCCGATAATATATGTTCTTTCAAGGGTCCAGATAGGGTTGTCATGGGAAAGAGAATAGTAGGAAAACTCAATTTATTTAGAAAGCATATAAGATTTGAGGGATCGAAAGAGGTAAAAGATACAGGGATGGAAGCAAGCATAGCAAATGGTGGAAAAGAAGGGAAGACGGTGGAGGGGCTGATTTGGTGACCGGTGGTGATTAAATTGATGGCGGCGATTATGATGAGCCCTAATTTAATTAGAGAGGGGGAAGATATTGTTATGTGCATTTCATGCATTCATTTTGTAGTTTTAGTTCATAAAAGTGCATTACATTTAGGTTTAAACTCATGCATTTTGCATATTTTTGGGATTTTTCATGATGCAATTCCATTCACACGCTTTTAGGATATTTCAGGGACTTATGAAGGTTGGATCATGATGGAGGAAGTTATCAAGAGTTGGAGACAAAGTTGTAGAAGTTTTGGAGCTTTAAAGAGAGAGAATGAAGAAATGAAGAATTTGGCTTCACAGGAGTTTACACGGCCGTGTAAACGTATACCTATAATTTACACGGGCCGTGTAAACGTATATGCAAGGGAATTCTACTTCGAATACCTGGAAGAATTAAGCATTCTACTTTTCTTGTTTACACAGCCGTGTAAATGGCACCCTTTAATTTACACGGGCCGTGTAAACGTCTCGGCAGTTTTAAAGTGGTTTTGTCTTCTTATAATTCAGACAATCAGTTTTTATGGGAGTTAGGTCAGATTTTGGGAAGAGAGGAGACGATTTTCAGAGCTTTTGCAAGTAGATTAACACTTGGAAAACACTTTAATTTCTTTTTGTAAGTCAATTTGAAGTTTAAACTTGTTTGATTTGTAGTTCAACCTAGATATGTGTGGTTAATTTTATTATCATTTCCGAATCTGAATTCTTAAGTATGTGTTGTTAGATTGTAACTTGAATTTGACTTGTGTTTAACATCTAGTAATCTTTGATTTGATCTTAATCATGCGTTTGATTAGTTCTCTTTTTCACTTGATCAATGAACTAGGGTTCTAGTCAATCTAGTTAATCAAATCATGAAATTCATATATGTTTTATGATTTGATGTTAGTAACACTCACTTACTTGGTTGTAATTAGATCAAAATTAGTGCAATCAAAGATTAAATGTTTATATTCCCAAGCTTAGGAGGAATGTTAAACATTGTTGCTAATTAGTGCAAGAACCTAATGTCATTTAATGATTTAATGCAAGAGCTTATTTGGATTGAATCAATTAAATGAAGTTTTATTTGAAGAGCTTGTTTTGAATAAAATACTTTTGCCAATTTGGATATTAGAGTTTATTAATATCCAACTTACCAACCTAGATTGAACATGAGTTATAATCATATTACATCTTTCAACATAATACATATATAAGAGTCAGAATCGGAAATGTACTTCTTTTACTGCGTTTGTTTTCAATCTTTCTTATTTATGAAGTTTAATTCAAGTTCAAACACAAACCCCCACTTCAATATTACTTGTATTATGTGTGAAAATATGGCAAAATAAGAAGTCTTGTATCTCTGTGGACCGACCCTGCTTACTCTATACTATCTTTAGTATTAGAAATAGTTGGGATTTGAGTTATATTAATATTATTTTATCCCATCATTTGTTGGTTTGACACCCAAACAAATTGGCGCCGTTGTCGGGGATACGGTAGTACTAATTGTTTATGCCAAGATCTTTTCGCACAGGTACACCTTTACCAGTTGATTTGGAAATAGAGAAATCTGCTAAACAGAGAAGGAAGCAAGCCATACTTTTAAAGAAACAACAACAATCCAGAGCTTCTTCATCAAATCCATCAACCACATCCTCTCCAACATTAAAAAGTATCACTCCACCATCTTCACCTACTCCTACCATGGCAGACAACCATGGAGGACATCAAAATCCTCCACATCCACCACCTGAACAAACCTTTAGACAATGAGCCACTCAAGATGTCACCCAATAACCTTTGTGCATAAATTACCCTGCAGCAATCAACTTTGAACTCAAGTCTGGACTCATCCATTTGTTACCCTCATTCCGTGGTCTTGAGAATGAAGACCCACATAAATTCCTTAAGGAATTTCATGTTGTTTGTGTGGGTATGAAGCCACATGAAGTCGCAGAAGATCAAATAAAGTTAAGGGCATTCCCCTTTGCTTTACAAGATTCAGCCAAGGAGTGGTTGTATGACTTACCACCGGGGTCAGTCACAACATGGAATGAACTTGCAAGGATGTTTCTGGATAAATATTTTCCAGAAATGAGAGCTTCAGCTTTACGCAGAGAGATAATTGGAATCAAGCAACAAAAGAGAGAAGCCTTGCATACTTATTGGGAACGGTTCAAGAAATTATGCTCAAAATGTCCACAACATGGGATTACCGAATATCAATTGTTGCAGTATTTTTGTGAAGGAATGTCATCTTGGGATAGAAGATTACTCAATGCATCAAGTGGTGGATCTATAGCTGATAAGACTCCAACAGAAATCAGAGTTCTTATAAAAAACATGGCAGAAGAGTTCAAGCATACAGTCCAAGAAGAAGAGTGGTACAGTGATGCACCAAGGGGGGTGAAAGAAATTTATACTCCAAAAATTGAAAGTCAACTTTCTAAGTTGACTAAGGTAGTAATGATGCTTGCAAAAGACAAGGGCGTGCAACCAC